ATATTTCAAAAATAATTTCATTCATTTTTGAATAAGTCCTGAAAATTTCATTAAAATCGGACAATTATTTGATTTTTACAAGAATTTCCAAATCAATGTGTTTTCAACGGAAAAAAGCGCAAAAAAACAATGTTATTTTAACAGCACCGCGATGACGTAAACAAAAAGAAGACTTTAACCAAAATTTCGAACGTGTTAGAAAATAATAAAAAATTTCAAAAAATAATTAAAAAATACTAAAATCTTTCATCTTAATAATAACATAAGCATTTTACGATAAAACTTGATTTATTTAATTTTTGTGGCATTTTTTGATACGCTATGCCGTTTCCCGCGAAAAAAATAAAGGTGGATATTTTAATTTATTTTAAATGTTTATGAGTAGATAACTAAAATTTAGGATCTATTCTACTCAAACAGCTTCTTCCCATCTGTGGAATTATTTCCTCTTATTTGCTTCCTGATAATTATAATCTTCAAATATTCAAATGTAATATCAGTCGACATCTGCTGATTCCTTTGATAAATTGGACATTCAAGATGTTTTTTTATCCTCCCCTAAAAAACCTCTTTACTCTTATTCTCAGACTGTCGCTAACAATTTTTTTTTTTTACATTAGTGGCACTGATTGTAATCAATTGGGGTGAAATGCTGGTTAAAAAAATACTGCAAAGAGTGCTAACAAATACTGGATTTGAGATACTGGCTTTCCTAAAAAAGTGATTTAAGAGAAAGATTGTATAAATTTCAACCGAAAACAGTACTGGCTGCTCGGTCAATGATTGCCGAATGTTTACTTTTCTGGATACGCTTAATATAAATAGTACCATTTTTTACAGTTTTTTGTGTATATATATATGTGTATAACTAGTGAGTTAGTCCAAATGACTTAATTCCCTTTATAGTCTACCAATAGAAGATTAACCAGTCAGAAGCCGCAGAACATTGTATCCGTCGTGTATAAAGGCGGCCATTTTTGTTATCCTACCCGAATGACCAGTGCCAACTTGTCAGGCGAAGATGACAGAAGAAAGTACTACGCTCTGCTACTTTGCTGCGATATCCACTGCTAACCTGAACTACACTTTCCTACTGTCTACGAAATATTCACTGCTAACCTCTGGATTCTATACTCAAAGACGACCGTCAAAATGTCTAACACCATTACCGTATGACAGTAAATAGTGGACGGTCGCCTCACAGATGAGGAAAAAACTTGAAGGAAAAAGCATTTGGTTCTACAGAAGGCTGCTGAGAATACCATGGACGGAACGTGAAAGCAACGCGGAAGTTTAAAGGAAAATGGAAATGAAATACATTTAAGTCCAGTAACTGTTATCATAATTTGTCAGTACAGATAGCAGTAAATTCCTAAGTTTTTTTATTTGAAAAAAAAAAGCTTAATATCTTGATTATGTCGATATTGTCTGTTCGTGCTTGGTACTGTTGTTAAAAGTCTTCAAGTGATGTTGTTTCTGTTGTTTGATACATTTCTTTGTGATTCTGTCGCGCCACGTCGAAGATTACCAAAACCCACAGACTTCACTGGCTCAAAGACTCTTTTAACCATTATTCGCAGTATGGCCCGACGTTGCCAGTGCTTGATTCAAAGATCGTACGACTCATACAGAAATCGCTATCACTTGACTTGAAATATTTTTGCCTTTCCTTGCCTTTAAAGGAGTGCCTTTGCCGTGCTGATGTTGCTACATGCCTTACTTCTTGCCTATCTCACACTGCGAATTTTTTCTAAGCTCTATACTAAACATTAAATCTGTTACGAAAAAAGAACTAAACAAAATGAACATAAAACGATCAGCTTTAAAAAAGGACTCGTAACTGGAAAAACCGAATGAAAAGAGAATGTTAACAACAAAAAATTTTTCACACCCAACCCAGTTCTGCGGAATCAGAATCAACGTTGAGTTTAAGCAAGTGAATGAGCCAATTGGAGTAAAGTGCCATGCAGATTTAAATGACGAACTTGTGACGAATGCGATTTTCGATTTTTTTGCATTAGCATGCTAGTTAACATTCGTGTCAGTCAGCTGTTGGCTCTCACGCTGGCCAATAGAATCTTCCTGCCTCTTCGTGGCAGCCAGCTATAGGCTCTCACTCTGGCCAGTAGAAAATGGCCGCAAACTACATGAAAACTGCCGTAGAAGCATGTAAAATCGATTATTTCCACTATCGATGGTAGTTGGGAAATGCAATGTCGGTCTTGGCCTTCTCACTATCTTGGAGCATGTCCATGCAAATTTTGGTGCAAACTGTCGAAAATTTGCGTACGTTCATTCGTTACACACACACACACACACACACACACACACACACACACACACACACACACACACACACACACACATCCTGCCTTTTATAGATAGAAATTCTTAGAAAGTGGTTTTATACAATAAACAGTTTGCATACATATTTTTTCCGTTCCTTGTTAAAACACAGATATCTAAATTTTTGTACTTGCTTGTTTTTTTTTTTTTATATCCGTGCTTTATAATTTGCATGTTGGGCTGTTCCATTTAGTCAGCCTAAATCTCAATCTTGCGTTTAGATTTTTGATATCTTCGTGGAAATTTTTGTTGATCCGTTATATTTTTTTTTCGAATTAAGGATTTTTTTTTTCAGTCTTACAGGTTTTAAAAGTTTAACCACTCCTATTTGATTAAGTCAATGTTTTTTGGGGTTTTATTTCATCTCTTTCCATTTAAATTATTCTTCTCATGTGCTTTTTAATTACTCTGACAATCACATAATTTTCTTTAAATTTTTTAAGTTTTAATTTTTGAAAATTCATTTAATCCTTACTTTTATTTTTCTGAAGCTTCCGATATGGAGATGATCAAAGAATCGTTATTGAGGATTCTATTTTTTTTTTCTTTCCAAATGAACAATACTTCGATCTTTTAATTAATCAGTGAAATTTCAATTCCTTCCTCCAGTCCTAAACTTCGCTTCCACCAAAACCGGAAATCTTTTTTTTTTCTTTTCCAAAATTCTATTGTTTTCTCTGATATTTTTTTTCAAAAAAATCCGCTGATAGACTTTTATTTCGTCCCTTGTTTTTTGTTCTTATGTTTTATTAAAATAATTTCGTTTTTTTTTTTCTACAAGTCGTTCTTTGTTCTTAATCGATATTAGATAACCTGATTGAACCGATGCAAAAATCAAATAAAGAATGTGTAAAAAAGGAATGAACTCATCGAAGTAAATAAAATAGAATTAATAGCTTGATATGATTGAATTTCTGATAGATTCATAACTGGGAATAATATCAGACAGAAATAAACATAACGAACAACACACATATATATATATATATATATATATATATATATATATATGTCTATATTTCTGAGATGAGGTATTATGTACACATTAAAACGAATTATTCGGGCTATTGTCCTCATCTTTGTCGCCAGATTTGTTACAAAATTTCGGCAGTTGTACTGTTTTTTTTTTTTCAGGTGGTTGGAATGTCGAATAACATGCGGTAGACTGTTCTAGTTCCACGTGCCATGTTTAATGGATGTCAGTTATTCTTTATTATCTTATATTTAAAGTTCTCCACCTGACAAATTGAACATTCTGTTTGGATCCTGTCACTTTATAATAACCAACGGGTTTTATCCACTGTGCCAGGACATTTTTTATGAATTTCTGGGTTTGGGAACACCATTTTTTTTTCGTAAACTTAAGGAATGAAACATAATACTAGGAGAAGGGCAACGATTGAAACGTTCTTACAAATATGGCGAAGAATGTAAATATAAAATATATATATATATTGTTGTTAAAAATAGTCCGAATAATATATGTATATATATATGTGTATGTGTGTGTGTGTGTTTTAGAATTTCAAAAAGAAAATCATAGACAAACAACTAAAACAAATAACACAAACTTGAGAACTACCCCAGTGAGCGAAATAAAGGGTTCATTCCAACAGAAGAAGGTCGGAGAACTTTAGAACTACCAAGATTAGCAACAACTAAAATGAATAGCATATGGAACTCGAAGAGTCAATAATGACATAATCAAAAATTGAACATTCCACAGGACCTTAAATAAAAGGTTAGAAAGGAAATCCCTATCAATACTGCAAAGAGCAATAATAGCTACTGGATTTGATTTTCGTTTTATTTATTGAAAAAGTTTTTTAGGATAAGGATTTTAAAATTTCAACAACCGAAAAATGCTTTTCAATTGTGTGAAATTTTTTTTTTCGAATATTTATATATATATATATATATATATATATATATATATATATATATATATATATATATATATATATATATATATATATATATATATATATATATGTGTGTGTGTTTAAAAATTTTAAGAAAAAAATTTCTACACGTGAAAATATTTCTTCAATCATAAAGTAATTGACGTTATTTTTGGTAATTGACCAAATAAATATATCTTGTTTTAAATTGTTCTAGTTGCTAATGACATTTTGTTTGTTGTTTACAGATACTCATTTTTTTTTTGCCTTGAAAATGTCCGCATTGGACAAAACGCGTTGGCTAAAACTACAGTTTTCGTATGTTTTTTTTCTTTTATAAACACATACATACATACGCACGCAAACATATATATATATATATATCGAGATAGGTAGATAGATAGATAGATAGATAGATAGAGAGAGAGAGAAAGAGAGACAGAAAGAGAAAAATAAATAGATAGCTAGATAGATATTTAGAAGAGAGAAAGAGAAATATAAATAGATATATAGATTTAGCGAGAGAGAGAGAAAATAAAAGATTTATTTCCTGAGATAGATAAAGAGAGAGAGAGAGAAAGAAAGAGAAAGATAAATAGATAGAACTTTTAGATAGATAGATAGATAGAGAGATAGATAGATAAATAAATATATATAGAGAAAGAGAGAGAGAAAGAGAAAGAGAATAAATAAGAAAGATAATTAGATAGATAGATAGAGAAAAATCTAATAAAGAAAAATAAAAATAGATAGTTAGATAGATAGATGAAGAGAGAGAGAGAAAAGAAAGATAAATAGATAGATAGATAGATAGATAGATAGATATTTAGAGAGAGAGTTTAGAGAGAAAGAGAAAGAGATAGAGATAGAGAGAGAAGATAGATTAGATAGATATATAGAGAGAGAGAGAGAAGATGAAATAGATAGATAGAAAAACAAACAGATAGATAATAGAGAGAGAAAGAAAGATAATATAAAATAAATAGATAGATAGAGAGAGAGAGAGAGAGAGAAAGAAAGAGAAAGAAAGAATAAATAGATAGATAGATAGATAGATAGAGAGAGAAGAAAGATAAATAGATATATTATGATAGATATAGATAGAGAGAGAGAGAGAAAGAAAAGAAAGATAAATAGATAGATAGATAGATAGATAGATAGAGAGAGAAATAGATATATAGCTAGATATAGATAGAGAGAATTTTTGATAATGAAAAAATTTATTATATAAATTATTTAGCTAGATAAATAGATAAATAGAGAGAAAGAGAGAGATAAAAGATAAATAGATAGATATTTAGATAGAAAAAGAGAGAAAGAAAAAGTTAAGATATATAGATAGAAAGATTTCAAAAGATAAATAGATAGATAGAGCGATATTTAAACTAAAATTTAAATAGATAGATAGATAGATAGATGAGAGAGAGAGAAAGAGAGAGAGGAAGAGAAAGACAATATGATGATAGAGAGAGAGAGAAAGATAAATAGATATATAGCTAGCTAGCTAGATAGATAGATAGAGAGAGAAAGAGAAAGATAGATATATAGCTAGATAGATAGATAGATAGATAGAGAGAAAGAGAGAGAGAGAGAGAGAAAGAGATAGATAGATAGATCTCTGTCGTTCTTTATATGTATTCACGTCTCTCTAACTCTTACGTATTTCAAGATATTGTTGTCTAATTGGGGTAAATATATCTGTTAAAATGAGATGTCAGTGTCATTTTCATAATCCTTGTAAATCCATCTCTTCTTTTCTCTGTAATTACGGATTAAATGCTTTGTTAATTTTAACGCCCGAATACCAAACTGTTCTCTTTTAATCGACTTAGAGAACCTTTTTTCCTTTTTTTTTTGGACTCAAATCCAGCACTGTAGAATCAGACGAGCAGCATTTGTAAGTAAGCATTTTCAATTATCGTTGGAGTCATAAAGAAATATGGGCCAATTACACCCTGTGATTTCTGGTTATGGGGTATGATAAAAGGTTCTCTTGTATAGCAAAAACGTTAGAGACATCGAAGGACTCAAGGATAGAATCAAAGGTGTAATATCAAAGATTCCTCGTAAAATGTGTGTCAAGGCACTCAATTGTACTATTGATCGCTGGTTTTTGTACATCAATCGTGCTGGTGGACAGGTGGGAATTGTTCAGTAAACTCTGAATAAATGATTCCTCTCTTGTGTTAAATATAATTTTTTCGTTTTGCATATATTCATATACATATTATATATATATATATATATATATATATATATATATATATATATATATATATATATATATATATATATATATGTTTTAAATTTGATCTTATAAAACTTTCAGTTATCTGTTTGGATAAGTCTTGTTCTTATGTACATCGTCTTTGTCATGTTGAATTGATAATGTTAATTATATTTTATGAATATGTCCTGAAGATGGTTTATTAGACCGAAACGTCCGACGTTGACATATTAACATTAAAACAGCATAATTGTATATAAGGATTTTTGTTTGTTTTTTCCGTATATTTTTCTTCATACTGTCGGATCTATATCCATATATTTATTTATATATATATATATATATATATATATATATATATATATATATAAATTTTCAAATTAAAAATAATAATGTTTTATTTATGAATTTATTTATTTTTATATATTTTATATATATACATATTAAGAAAGTATACGTGATCATTTTTATATATATATATATATATATATATATATATATATATATATATATATATATATAGATAGATAGATAGATAGATAGATAGATAGATAGATATGACTACAGATATATAAGTTAGGCAGTGAAAAGAGATAGAGAGAGATAGATGGATATACGAGGAGAGAGTTGATACTTGTGCAGTATAATTTTTGCTTGGTTACTAAGGCCGCGCAACCGGTTGTTGCGATATTCAAAATAGCTGGAAAGATTATTGTCTGACTACAGAAATCATTGGCGCGTACGTACGGTTTAAACGAAATTAATCGCGAACAAGGCATCCCTTCTGAGAAGTGGACTCCAATTAAGAGCGTTACATGACAACCTCCCCAGGTGAGGGCTAACATTTTGTATGTTCATATTCTCGTCTTCATAATTAGTGTCATCGCCAAGATTATAAACTTGTGAGTAAAAGCAAAGAATAGCGATCTGATTCTAAAAAGAGTTTTCCAATATTTACGGTGTGAGGAATCGTCATCTGTCTTCCTCGAGGGAATAGAAGGACACTGGAAAAAAGACAAAAAGAAAGCCGTTGTTAGCGGGGGCGAAGACAGTCACGCAAAAAAAATCCGAATCGTTAGAAGTCATTTAACGATTGTTAAGGAAAGGCGATAAACGGAAAAAAGGATAAAATCACTGATAAAATTTGATTAAATCATTTCAATGTCTATTCTTTGTATTTTTTTATATTGCTTAAGGGTCTATCTATCTATATCTATCTATCTATCTATCTAACTGTCTATCTAACTGTTTATCTAACTTATCTGTTGATATCTATCTATCTCAGGTTTCATATCTATCTCAATTTGTTCATATCTATCTATCTATCTATCTATCTATCTATCTATCTATCTGTCTATCTATCTCTTTCCCTCTCTAACTGTCTATCTAACTGTTTATCTAACTTATCTGTTGATATCTATCTATCTCAGTTTTCATATCTATCTCTATTTGTTCGTATCTATCTATCTATCTATCTATCTATCTATCTATCTATCTATCTATATGTGTCTCCTCAAATCTATCTTCTTGTCTCTCGTTGGCTATTCATATCTATCTATCTAGCTAGTTATCTACCCAGATAGATAGATAGCTATCTAGCTAGCTAAGTCTCTTTACATCTATCTATCTCAGTATTTATATCTATCTATCTCAATTTCTTCATTATCTACCGATCCATCTATCTATCTATTAGTGTCTTCTCAAATCTATCTGCCTGTCTCTCTTTGTCTATTCATATCTATCTATCTATCTATCTATCTATCTATCTATCTATCTATCTCAGTCTGTTCATATATTTCTCCCTCTCTCTTCCTACCATGCCTTAATATATATGATGGTCTCTCCCGTCGAATTCGATGTATGAGGTACCGACCACCAACTTCTAGTTATATGCATGCCTATGACAGACATGACTTTTCAGACTGGGTCAAGATTTGCACACAAAGACCACAATCAGTACAGGAAAAAGTACTGTATGTAAGTGCAGCAGGAACACTGTTAGCTGCCTTATACTTCTTTCGTGTTTCATGCAGTCGACTGATGCTTACTGCTTGATGGTGCATTATTACTGTATGGCAGCTGGAACGATACTCTGATTTCTTCATAGCTACCTCTTCAAAGTTCTTGAATGGAATATTGACACAAGAAAAGGTTGCTTTTCAGTTTATCTTTATACCTTCACCAAGGTTTACCAACATATCTATGACAACTGTGGAGTTGACTGTAGAAAAAAACTTTCGGTATGTGATCATCACTCATCAGGTGCCACATGGCCAACCCAATGTAGTTGTGACTGCATTATGAAGGCCTCGATGGTACCAATCTTGCATTTCTCAAAATGGTCGGCATTTGACACTCATAAAACGTCCGACCACAGATTGTATTGAGGCCGGTTTTTAGGGAAGACATCTAATCGATTAATATGCCATCTATCAGGTAATAGATATCGCGATCGAGCGATATATATATATATATATATATATATATATATATATATATATATATATATATATGGAGGTACGGTGAAGTAATGGATAGCGGCTCGGTTTAAGAAATCGGGAGAATTTTTCGAATTCCAGTTGAATCCATTACATTCACTTACGTGCTAATAAGCTTCGGAAGGGTATGTATATTCTTCTCCCTCCAGCTATGGGTAAAATAGCAGGACAGATTCGATTCTATAGTCTTGGATTCTAGGAGAATAACAACTCTGAATTCAAAAACCTGCAGAGGGTCGTTTGGGGAACCCGTGGCACGTAGTGCACCAGGTCTCTGCATTCCGCCCTTCAAAAAGTGTGGATGGTCTTGCACACAACCTTCACAACTATAATCAAATATGTTCTGGTGTCTGGCTGTCGGTTCCTAGGCAGTGAGCTGTTTGACCCTCATGCATCGAATCCGACGGGAGAGTCCACCATATTTAGTTCGATAGATAGATATCTTGCATAGATAGATTAGATTGATAAACATGAACAGAGACAGATAGATATGAAGAGTCTTAGGTATATTAATAGATAGGTAGGTAGATATGAAAAGACTGAAATAGATAGATATATGCTTCCAGACCATTTATCTAAATATTAGCCTAATGTCATAGGAAATCATGTAAAATATGCCCATATCTTGGTACAATGTTGTCAATGAATGTCATGGCCGCCATCTTTCTAACAATTATCGGTTGTTGCCTGATATTTGATGAGTTTTACTTGCAGATCCTCACTGGCGTAATTTGATCTCGACTCATTCCGTCACTATAGAGACTGGACAAAGCCTTGGGAATAATAATATGCATCAGGCTATCAAATCGTGTTGCTTTTTTCACAGTCCATGCATATTTTAGCATTTATTCGTTTCCCAACGAAAGAAAATTCGATACATTTAGCGTTAATGTATTGTTTCACACGCATGCGTACGGGTAAGGGAGCTTCTTGTTTAGTTTACGCGGCCATGCCTTTTGACATGGCACTGGCTTCAGGGAAAAGATCTGACCTACCACATTTGTGGTCAAGCCTTTGTGAATGGGTTTATGGAATTGTAAATACTTATTAACAAATGACGAAGCGATAGGTTATTATATCAGGATATATATTCAGTGTAGGCAGAATGTCAAACAAGGCCATCATTATAGTGGCATAACATTTTTTATCGAAATTAGCGAAGAAAAGACACTAAAAAGATTGAAGTCTATAACTGGATTGGCAGTTAGGTTTCATACTTAAACTGTTGCATTTACTTCATGAAATCATATGTTCTATTCTAATTTTTTCTTCTCGGTTTTTTCTCCCTCAACTTCAATCATTCAAATATAACTTCAAAAATCATTGTTTGTTTTTTATTCTTGAATTTTATTGTACTTTGTACTGAGTTATTTTATCTTGCTTTCTTTCAAATCAGACTTTATAGCATAGCTTAGAATAAATTGATTAAAACAAATTGTTGTGATTATATCTAATGATGAAATAATGTATTTTGGTTTTATCTGGTTTATATATATATATATATATATATATATATATATATATATATATATATATATATATATATTTAAAAGACAGGATGTGATGTGTGTGTGTGTGTGTAACGAATGCACGACTGCAATTTTCGATGGATTTGCAAAAATTGACATGCACATGTAAAGTGCGAAGGCCAAGACCGACATTGCTTTTCTCAACTCCCATCGATAGTGAAATAATCGATTTTTCATGTTATTACGGCAGTTTTCAAAAGTTTTTTAATTTTTTTTTGACAGCCTATAGCTGGCTGCTAATGAATCCAAATAGGCAAGAAAATTCTATTGGCAAAATCAATAGGTGGAGATCAAATATCTGGTGCCACGAATAGGCAAAAAAGATTTTATTGGCCAGCCTGAGAACAAAAAAATGACTGAGACGAATGTTAACTAGCAAATAAAGCCAGCATGCAAAAAAATAATCGATAGCTGCACAAGTCAAAAATGGAAAAAATTCAAATCTACATGGCATTTTACTCCAATTGGCTAATTCGCTTGCTTAAACTCAACGTTGATTCTGATTCCGCAGAACTGGGTTGTTTTGAAAAAGTATTTGTTGTTTACATTTTTTTTATTCGTTTTTTCCAGTTACGAGTTTTTTTTAAAGCTGATTATTTTTGTGTTTATTTTGTTTAGTTATTACAGGAATAACAGATTTAATGTTTAGTATAGAGCTTAAGAAAAAATTTTTCAGTGTGAGATAGGCAAAAAGTAAGGCATGTAGCAACATCAGCACGGCAAAGGGTTTCATTTTTAAAAGGCAAGGAAGGGCAAAAAACTATTTTAAGTCAATTGATAGGATTGCTGTATGAATCGTAATGATTTTTTAATCAAGCTCTTGGGCCCTTTGAGCCATGCTGTTAATATATATATATATATATATATATATATATATATATATATATATATATTTTTATGTTTGGTTGAATAATCTGAAGATATATGTCTAAGAATTTCAATTTTAATCCTCTCGCAGTTTATAAAATTTCGTATAATAGCTATTTTGTAAGAGAACATTCACTTTTATAGATTAGAGTGCACGTGTTTATGCTACTTGTTTTTTTTTATATGAGGAGGTAATAGTGTTTATTAATACACCAAGAAAAGTTATTTTATTGCTATTGTTAAGTACGTATGTGAACTTAACGACGGAGGTTTTTTGGGAAGTATTTTTTTTCTAATTCTTATATTACATGTTTGGTTTTAATTTTTATGGAGAGAGAGATGGATTATTGTAAATATTCTTCATAATTATCTCAAACCTTTCCCTAACTGGGACATTGGTAAATAAACTATCAACATCAAGTGAGGCTATGGTTTCATTATTAGGCTTTTGAGGTTTTATAATTTAGATGAGTTCGTAGTTTATATATATACGTCATCCACAGACAGACTGTTTCGCTGTTTCACAGCTCATCAGTGCGGCTAGACATCCGGTTACCTCTAGCTAGGATCGAAACCCAACTGACTTGGTGTCAGTCGGAGATTCTAACCATTAACATATATATATATATATATATATATATATATATATATTAGTAGTCGTAGTAGTAGTAGTAGTAGTAGTAGTAATCCTATAGGTATGAGAAACTACACAGGTTCGGAAAACCTGCGATGTCTTAATTTGCAAATAATAAAACCAATACCAACATTGGGAGGTTTGTCATTTCTAGCTTTAAACGATATATATATATATATATATATATATATATATATATATATATATATATATATATATATATATATATTGAATTTATATGTCTGGTGAATTTAAATTGAATCAATAAATTTACGTTTCCAATGTAATAAATTATAACCATGGAATATTGTTTAGTTTTTGTTTTTCTTATATATATATATATATATATATATATATATATATATATATATATATATATATATGAAGAAATATATATATTTTCAGGTGTGCTATAAATATGGGATAAATTTCGATATACGAGAACGTATAGGCAGTCTGACGATTGCGTCTTCGATATAAACATATGTCGCCTCTGTTGACTTCAATATATACTTATTATATATATATATATATATATATATATATATATATATGAAGAAAAATTTGGAAAAAAACAAACAAAAATCCTTAAATGCAATTATGTTGTTTAAAATGAATGAAATGTCGACGTCTGACGTTTCGGTTTAATAAACCATTTTCAAGACAATATTCATTAAAATACAATTCAGTTCAATTTGACAAAGACGATGGACATAAAAAAACAAGTCTTATCCAAAAAACAGATAACTGAAAATTTTAAAATGATCAGCTTTCCGTTTAGCATGGTCACGTTGTCGTCACATGGGCGACGCTTTCAAAAACGTATTCCTAAAATTTTTGATTATTTTGAATGAAAAAGAAAATGAAAAGAAAGCTGATCATTGATTAGACGGAACACTTGGTACCATCGATAGCTATGCTAGAACGAATTCACACGTTCCCAGGGATATAATTAAAGTAAATTTACATGCTGATGTTGTTCTGATTGTTGATCGTTCTAGATAACAACACACACACAGACACACACAGACACACGCACACACACACACACACACACACATATAGTTAGATAGATAGATAGATAGATAGATAGATAGATAGATAGATAGATAGATAGAAATTTGGAAAGTGACTGAAGATAAAGGGATAGAGACTGAAGCTGTGCTGCCATGTCAGGACCAACAACATTGCACGTTCTTGAATCTGCAGAAACTCCTGTCCAGATATGTCAGCACTACTCAATACAAGAATGAATATAAATGTATAAGGTGGATTCTTGTGAGAAAAGCAATGAAGTA